GATTAGGCAGCGAGTCTAAAAGAAGGCAGGACGAACTCAACAGTCAGTTTCAGGGCTGGGAGGAGAGGAGAGTTAAACAACTGAAAGATGTCTCTATTGGTTAAATATCCATTCATTACTGATACAGAACTGTTGAAAAAATAACTGCCAAAGGAGGGATTTTTTATTGTTTCCCACAGTTCCCACACATTCTCCCACTGCCTGAAAAGGGTCTAAGGGACTCCTTTGTTTACTTCCGTAACATAATTTCATCACTTTGTAACCCTCACGCTTCTATTGGCCAGCGCTCTAAAGGCCCCGTCCACACAAAAAGGTCTTCCGTCTTCAAAAAGGTCTTCCGTCCACACAGAAACGGCTCAAGAAACGTGTAAGTCCACACGAAAACGTTAGAAAACGCTGGAGACGCTGTAGTACATATGCCGGGCCTGTAAGTGGCGCTGTACTTCCGCCACAAAATACACCAAAAGCAGCGAAGAAGACTTATTATTATTATTATATTATATTATTATTGTTGCTGATGGTTGTGGTAGAGGAGCTGTAAATGTTGCACTAAAATCTGTATCATGGTCAGTAGCGTCTGGAGCACGAACGCAAACCTGTGATCCGCCATTGTTGTTGTTGGCGAAACTCCTTCCGTGTCAACTCAACAGGAGTGACAGTCCGCACACACACAAGACCGCAATTATGGCAGAAGCAAAAAAGCCCAAAATATATAATTTTCACTCCGAGTGGGAGGATGATTATTTTTGTATCTATTCCAATTCAAAGTCCATCTGTCTCATCTGCAATGCGAGCGTGGCTTTATCGAAGAAGGGTAATTTAGGAGCGGCATTTCAAAACAGTGCACAAACGCTACGAGACGGAATTCCCTCCTAATTCTGCCCGACGCTCCCAAAAGGGGAGGGGCCTGAAAGGACAGCTAAATGCAGAGCAGTCCATTTTCACCAGGCCCAACAACAAGAGCAAGGCTGCTACCATAGCATCTTATCGTGTCAGTCACGTTCTTGCGAAACACATGAAGTCTTTCAAAGACTGCGAAGTTGTGAAAGAAGCTTTCCTGGAGGCTGCCGACGCGCTTTTGGGGGACAGTAAAAATAACAGTAGCATTTCAACAGGTTTTTGATATAATAAAAACTCAAGTTAGATACCGTTATTAATCAGCTGTAAGTTTTAGTTTGTTTGAACATATTCATTATAATTATTGTACAAAACGGTATAAAAATGCAAACTTAAATTGATTATAGTCTATTATCAATTCAGGTTAAGAAAACTAGTGTTGCTTGCATCCTATTTTAAAGGCATTTATTTTTATACTCTACTAAAATGCAACAAAAAAAGGGTTTGATTCTATTAATTTTGTCATTTTTATTGCACTTTGGCAGCAGATTCCTGAGTAGCTTCAGATCTGAGTTGTCTTATTAGTAAGCCTAATTTATACTTTTGTAGCAACACTATTTTTATATAATGGCAAAGAAAGGGTTAAGAGTCTTTTCTTTTTTCCTGTGTCATATGTGGCAGCACTGTTCAATGTTTCTTGAAAACATTACCCACTGTAGTGACGTGTGAATAAACTCCAACTTTGTATCAACAACACTGTTGTGTAACTTCAGTTAAATACTTGTATGTGTGTAGATTAGAAAGAGGTAAGATAAAGGATAGTATTTTATGAAGTATTAATCGTACAAAGGTAAGTTTTATACAAGTAGAAGTGTGTATTTACCTGTAGTAGGCTGTCAGTAATGGCTACGCCTCTCTATTTGGACTGGTAGATCTCGGCAGACTGGCAACTTTAAAAGTAGCTCTCGGTTCAAAAAAGGTTAGGCACCCCTGCTCTATATATTTATTTTACCACTCAAAGCAAGGTAAATAATAAATATATAGAGAATAGAAATGATGGCACAACAGCAATTTGATGATGTGCCGTATACGTCTTTATTTTAACGTCACAACGGCATTCTCAATTTTTTTTAGACTAACAATGGTTTTGGTGTCCTTTATCTGCAATATAGAGCACTGTAAAAGATAATTTAGCAAATAAGACCAAGCATAACAACTCATATCCCAGAACGAATGTGTTTTGAAGGATTATATTGGGTGTAAACAACAGACTGATACTAAAAATAAGTGAACTATTAGTGTATGCTACCTGCAATTTATTGAAGACTTCTTTTGAAGCCAGAATTGGCAAATGGCCAGGGAACATTACAAACATATTCAGTAGTTGAGTAGAACTGAGAAACACCTTGCACATGAAATGAAACAGTTTTCCCGCTAAGATTTTCTGCAGGAACAACTAAAATAATGCCAGCCACAATGCAAATTATTTGAGTTACTGTAATGACATGGCTTTGTTTGATGGTCTTACTTGCGGATGTGTATGTTTACATCTTTATCCCTCAGGTGAGAATCTATATTGCACACATAGTCAGTGAAGGCTGTCCTGGTAGCTAATAGGGCAGAGTGTGCGCCATTAAAGCCATTACCAAAGATGCCTCCTCTCTTTCATCCTTTCTCTCTCACTGTTAAATAAAGCAGAAATGCCAAAAATAAATAAATAAATAGCCATTGAATCTATTCAGCCTCTAAACACTCTCCACCTCCTCTTCAGCACAAAACATCCAGGAAATGAGACAGCCGGACCACTTCACTGAGACAGGGACCAATTGGATGACATTTAAATAGATGGAGCCTCGAACGAATGAGTTCATTTCCAGCGTTCATGTCGCGGTTCAGACCCCCCTCTCGATATCTAACTGAGATCACAATGAACTGGCAGAGCAACGCCTGCTGCAAATTGTACTTTTCACAGCTGTTTCCTATATTTATGCAACCGGCAAGTAGCGAGAGATAAAGCTATGGGAAAACAAAGAATTCCGATTTACACAATCAGACCTGCTGCTCCCAATCAGGTATTAAGGCAGCGGCGCAGCAGGAGAGGAAACGTACCGCAGCTCCAGTGCATGTCAAATCAAAGGCACTCTGGATGGAGATTGTACTTATGTACGTGCCTATTTGTGTGTTTGGAAAGGAGATGAGAGGAGGGGAGAATCAGTATAGGGGTGTGCAATACTCGAGAATGAAAATCCAAACTTGTGAGACACAGCAGATAAAGTATTTAATGATCTGCCTTGATTTAAAGAAGCTGTATATTTATTATAACACAGTTGTAAACAGCACAACATAAAAATCCATGTACTGTAAAGTCTCTGTGGCTTTTTTACTTTCTTGTTTGTGTATGATCTACACCACAGGAGGGGCATACATATTAAAAAAGGAAGCCATGACCTCGGGGAAATTACAAGTAAGACTTACTGAAGTTACATTTCCTGCAGTGGGCGATCAAAAAAGGGCAACTACAGTAAGAGTTAACTAGTATGTGGAATACTGTTAGATTAGAGGGCCATTCGAGCTATTTACTTCATTAAAGTTAGTGGATTTTTTCCTCTCTCCAAGCCACTTAATCCTCTTGTGACTTCTCATATTTATCTACCAACCTTAGTGAAGTCCAGAGAAAGTTGCTAGTGCATTCATATAAGCTGAAGGAGATTAAATAACGAGAAAAAGCACAAGGGTGACATATCACCAGTCGGTAGCTGATGTTTGTGTGTGAATGCCTGTGTATGAATTACTAGAAAATAACACACACTAAGGGTTGTGTTGAGGTGCTGAAAGTAGAATTGAAATTCTTGATGGTTTGCCAACTACTACAATAAGCCTGCACAAACGAGGCAAAGTGAAAAGTTCATTTGGGGCCTGCCAAACACTACTGTAGTTTCTACAACATTTAGAAGGTCTGTCTGCTGCTTCTCTCTGGCTTCGCTCGGTTTACTCTCTCTTTATTTTCTTCTTTCTCCATCGATTGTTCTGCCCCGAGTCTCTCAGACCACAGAAGAGCCGTAAAAACTCTTCTGAGAGTCGAGGTCGGAGGTCACGCTAGACCAGTAGAGATACAGTTGCTTTTATATATCTCAGAGCAGATTCCTAAATCTCTATTCCCTGTTCTCTCAACCATCTATTACATATGTCTCCTTTACTATTCTCACACTCTCTTTGCCCCCTCCAACTTTTCATTCTTACATTTTTAATTGTGCTATTTTAATTCTTGTATTTCAAGGGATGTTGGGGTTTTGCATTAGTCAGAATTGTTAGTTGGGAAGCAAGCTCCAAACTCACTTGTATTCAATTCCCAAAGTATCCCTTTACACTTATAATATAAAGGAATTTGTATATCCTGGAATTCATTTGTATAATCTAAAGTTAAAAAGGCTACAACTAATAATAATTGTTTGTTTGATTTTGGTTGTTTGTAGAACCATTTCCTCACATAATCTGGCACATACTGTAAAAGGCAGCTCATGTGCACTTCTTCACCATCTCTCCAATCTATTTTTGGAAGCCTTTTCTTTACTGTTAATGTCACAAAACCTTCAGTCTCCGGGATGTACACTCAAGCTTAAGAAATCTGGGCACTTATCCATCAAATTGTGCAAAAACTTAAATAATCAACCCTAATGTATATAGCAGCTGCTGGTTTCCCTCATTGATGTAACATGCAGTTTGTGAGCAGCCTCCCTGCTAGCGCCCATCTCACAGGGGAGTTCCCGTAATGAGAAAAGACACCCAGCTGGTCGCAGGTGTCGTACAGAAATGGATACCTTATTCCAAAGGGCTTCCCTCCTCCTCTTTGTCTACATTCAGATCCTCTTCCTCCCACCTGCACCGCCTACTCTGTCTCCATTAACCCTGTTGTTCTCTCTCTAACTCTGTCTCCACATCTTGCTCTTATAGCATAATCTTTCTCTTAATGTGTCACCTCCTCAGTTCTTCTTTAACTGCTCATCACCCTCTTTATCTTCTGCCTGCCTGCTACTTCTACTATCACATCATCTTGCTTCTTATCTACACCAATTTTTACCATTTGCATAGTTGTCTGCTCTCACAAAACACACTCCCCTGTGTTGTTATTGATGAGAGAGCAGAGTTTTAGTGCAAATTGTTACCTTTCTCACAAGTCGCTCCTCCGTAGCTGGGCAGACAAAGACCACAAAGGAGTTGATCTCATCGATGCAGGTTCCCTCATTCTGGCATGGGTTAGACTGGCAGTCATCAATGTCTGGAGGGAGAGAAAAGAGAGGGGGTGGGGGGGGAGATACGGGTTGAGTCAGGTTGATGCAACACACATTCACACACAGCAAAATCATTTTAGGTACTTTCCAAACTACCTGCAACAGTTTTGACTGAACCCTGGGAGATCAAAACTTTTGGACAGATTAGAGGTGTTTTTGAGAAAGGTATAATTAAAGGGAATGGATTGAACTTCATCAGTGAGAGGTTTGGGATGCACTGAAGCGCATGATGCTAATAGCAATGTGTTGGCAGGACGTGCTGCAGTTTTCTAAACATGAGCTGAAAGAGCAATTGACGGAGAGGGGTAGAGGGTAGAAAGACCGAGAGACATGGGAGGTTAGAGAGTGATCCATCCAACACATTCATGCACAACGAGTTGTGTGCAACTGTGTGCAAATCCATTGTAATACGTGCATAAGCGGCCCAAACAATGCAAGCAGACATGATGCCGTCTTCAAGCTTCGCAATGACCAAATCAAGTCTCGATGTCTGTGCGCATAATGTACACACTCACACAAACAATCACACACACATATTTGCAGAGGCGTTGCAGGGGTGAGAGTTCTCATTTCAGTTGAAACAATGGTAACTGTATTTCTCGAGCTGATCTGTGCCGAGGGGCAAAATCATTAAAACGGCAGGCTGGCATCCCACAATCCTCTGCCATCACAACATCTCGGTGAGTCCCTGGGGCCACGGCAAGAGGTCATTGGAGCAGAGGTGGAGTGAAACAAGGCGGGGGTGGCAGGAGAAGGTCGGAAGTGACGAAAAGATGCAGGGAAGGAAATGCTAAAAAAACACGAGTGAAGGAGATGTAATGAAAACAAGGGGAGAGGTGATTTAAAGCTGCGACTTTGGGAAGCTGGCAAGTTTCAGGGTTGGATTACAGGGGCTTTGCAGGCACACAGTTTGGGGCGGAGGAGTCTGTTTTGGATAAAACAGTGTGACAGCACCATTGCTGCTGCTCTGCTTTGGGCTGGCTGATATTAAATAGGCTGAATTTGATGCAGGAGGTACAGACCCAGTCAGAGGAGTCATAATAAGATGGCATTTGTATTGGTTTAGTGTATCGTCGCAAATCCATGTTTAATTCTCTGTCTGACTCATGATGGGGTGGAAATAAAATATAAATAGGGAATAGAACTTCACAGCAGGGGCAGCAATTGAGTCACACACACTTCAAAAATCCGTTTGAAGGCAGATGATCTGACATACAATCTAACAGGGGGGCTGAGTTTAGGCTCCAAAACTTTGATTTTTGTTACGACAGTCAGTCTGCATTACAAAGTAGAGGCAGAGAGGGTCTGATAAAAGATGCTGTTGGATTGCATTATGGGAATTTAATGATCCAGCGTGATTTATCCTAGGGACAAAAAATCAGGATACTCATTTGATGATTCTAAATCTGTCACTTTTTGAGTCCCTCAACTTTGAAAAAGTTAGATGTCAAATCGCTGGTGACGACCTTTAATCTTGCTGTGTTGCGTGACTAAGGGATCTTTGTTAAGGGATCCAAAAGTTTGGAGATGAGTAAAATTGTTGTTGACAGTCTGCAACATTAATGATAGGAGAATTGCCTAAAGATGAATATTTATAAGAAACTGCATTAGGGTTTCTATGCCAGTCACGTAAGCTGTTTATAATCATATTTTTTTTATACAGCGTGACATAATGTTATTTTAGATCATTACGTTTAAATTCACCACTGAGACCCGCGTCACCACTAAGTGAAGACATTACTCCACAGGATTATTAGCTAATTGTGACAGTTAACCGCCACAAAACAATTGGCCCCACTCTCTAAAAGGTGCTCTGCAGTGAAGAGAGGCACGCTCGCTTAATGGTGTTAAATGGTGTGATGTTGAAGTAAAGGACAAAGCTGTATTTTAGTCCAACCAGGCATCAAGTGATAGAAACCCGTCTGGGGTAATTAAACCGCCTGCTCGAGTCCAGGGAGTGATGACATAACAAGTACTTATAGCAGGCAGAGCAGGCCATCTTCTTCTATGTTTTTTGTAGAAAATAATGTGTGGAATTATAATGTTTGAGTACCCAAAATACATTTGAGACCACAGCTTTAAGTACAGTATTTCCAGTGCAGATCGACAACAGAGAATGATTATAACCCCAAAATATCTGTAATAAATATGATTATACAGATCCCTGAGTGAACATTTGAGGAAATATAATTAATATAGCATGTATGATGAACGATAGATTACATGACATGTTACTTGTTAGACGCTTTTATCCAAGCGACTTACATACTCAGTACTGTGGACAATCCCCACAGGAGCAATTTGGGGTGAAGTGTCTTGCCCAGGGACACAACAACATTGCAGTGGGGTTTGAACCCTGTGAACCCCTGATGCGAATACATCCGCTCTATACCACTGCGCCACACGCCTCCCGATTAGATGCTGCAAATATCCCCCCCCTCCTCCCTCTACACCAGGAACCAGATGAGCAGGTTGCCAGTCAGCTGTTCAGAACAGCTATGGGGTAATACGAGGCCAGCATCTGGCCTCTTAAGCACTGCAGCACTATAAGGAGTGGTGGAAGCCCCTGGATTTAGGAGCACTGGGGTCAATAAAGTATCTACCTCTGAACATCGGCTATTAGAGGGGCCACAGTGGGCATGTTTTAAGCTGTATAGCAACCAATATAGTGAAACCATCTATAGACAGTGGCAGCTGGGGTTCACAGACTTCATTTCTCAAATTGAGGAAAATTCAAGCACAAAGGTGGTCAATAAAATACCATCTTATCTTAAATGACCAAACACAGTAGCTTGATAATAGCTCTTTTTACTCTCAACCAATTAGATGGCTGTCCTCGAAAAAACGTTATACTGTGGCAACAAGGGATAAACACATGAGGAACTAATCACTTCCGATGTAATCGCGGTAGGCTTTACTGTATACTGTCTTAATGCAGATAGATTACAGAGTAGGGCTGCTGGTCAATAATTGTAATTGCGATTATTAAATGCGATTATCATTTACTTTGAAAACATCAATTTATTGGAGAAAAAAAATGGAACAGTATGTTTTTAACAGTTGATTACCCTGAACTTTAAGTATAACTCAACTGAAATAAATAAATAAATAAAAATAAATAATCGTTTTATTTCGATTACGTTGTTTTCGTAATCGTTGCAAGCCATAATCGTAATCGCGATTAAAAGACGATTAATTGAGCAGCCTAATACAGAGGATGAAAACCTAAACTAGATCAGTAAATTGGCTGGGATGATGCATCAACATATATTATCTTATTGAAAACATATTCAAATTATGTGCATGTCAGTATTGAGGTAACAGAACATTGCAATACAGATATACATAAGTAGCTTTTGAGATATTTGATACCATGTCTTGATTATAAATTGTGCCTTTCCAGCTGAGAGCTAATACCTGAAAGCTTTAATGATAAAATGGCTCACTCTTTACATTTCTTGGTCCAAATTTGACAAACTGTAAGGATTATCATCAGAAATGTGGAAGTAGGTCGAAAACAAAGTGTGGTTCTGGAATCTTTTGTCATGGATATGTCGTGATTTGACACAAGCATCACACTTAAATAAGGATGAAGTTGCATGTAAAAAGTCCTGAGAAAATAAACCATATCCAAGTCAGACATGTTTGAGAATAAAATAACAGTTTGGGTATTTTACAACATAAAGGTTTACATATTCATAAAGAATGTATATCCAAACATTGCTTATTTTCATCAACTACTGACTTCCAATGTCTCCTACAATAATGAAAAGTCCATCACAGTGTATGTGCTCTAAAAGGTTTTCCACATCACACTGTTGTTTTAACCTCCTTATAAACTGTTGATGTAGATAATCCTGTTCACAACACACACATGTACAAATCAGATTTAACCTGAGTACACTCTTCTGCAGGATATGTGTTGATCACTCCACAAACAGTATGCCGCTTATACATCCCAATAAAGTGACATCAAGCTTAACATTTTTGTGTGGATTAGGAATTTCACGTTCATGCTAAATCTACAGTAAATACCTGATGATATTGTTAAAACTGTGTGGCCGATGACAAAACACTGATCCTTGGTGTCTGTCGGTGTCAACCCTCACCTTAACTCAAACAGAGCCAGAGCGCAGCAGGCCTGTCCACTTAAACCCCTCTCAATGTTCACTCCGTCCATCTCGGCTTAATGAAAGAAACCATCTAACTTCAGCAGGTGGCAGAGTGTGTCTTTGCGTGACTGTACTTGTGCATTTGTATGTGTGTGTGTGTGTGTGTGTGTGTGTGTGTGTGTGTGTGTGTGTGTGTGTGTGTGTTGTTGTGTGTGTGTGTGTGTGTGTGTGTGTGTGTGTGTGTGTGTGTGTGTGGTGTGTGTGTGTGTGTGTGTGTGTGTGTGTGTGGGGTTGTGAGTCTCTGGCCCGTTCCCCAGTACAACAAAATCAGGCCTGGGCACAAGGAAAGTCTCAAGAGAGTCGAGGAGAGCTGTGCTCCACTTATCTGCTGGCAGCTAAATGGATGGAGGGATAAACATGTGCCAGCCACTGTGGTAATTGCTGGGCACAGCTAAAACACAAGTGACACTACCATCTTTTCTTTAAGCCCAGCATTTTTCATTTCAAATCTGTCAGGAGAGGCAGTAAATAAATGTGAGCAGTCGATGTGACTAACATACATGTAATGGCAGAGTTGATACAAATATTAAATTGAGGATTAAATGTGGTTCACTGCTGATTGAAAAATGATGATGTTTTGATGGGAATGTTTGATTGTAGGATAAATATGGAACCCGCCTCTCTGTGTACTTCTGAGAATAGATGATGAGGGTGATGTTGGAGGAGGGGGAAATTCAGATTGAGAAATACGAGGGAGGATAGTAAGACGGCAGCTCGACAAACGGAGGGTGGTGTCAGTAGACAGAATATCTGGAGGCTTACTGCAGGCATGTGTCGAAACCAGGGAATGAATAATTGAAAAAGGGACAGAAAGA